CATCCCTGCTGCTACGGTAACCTGCAGCTGTGGAGTTCCTAACTGACTGGGTACTCTCTAGGCAGTTTCTGCCCTTAAAGAAGCAGGCACCTTAGTGCCATGCGACAAAGGGATTTTAATAGCAATCTTCAACTACCTCAAGGCTGATTCCAAAGAGGATGGAGCTAGACTTTTCTCAGTGGTGGCAGAATAAGGAGAATGGTCTCAAGTTGCAGCAAGGGAAATTTAGGTAAGAAACTAGAGAATCTCTCTCACTAGGAGGATAGTAAAGCACTGGAACAGATTACCCAGAATGGTTGTAGAATCTCCATCCTTGGAGGTTAAGAACCAGCTAGACAAAGCCTTGGCTGGGGTGATCTAGTTGGGGATGTTGCTGCTCTGAGCAGGGGGTTGGATTAGATGATCTCCTGAGGTCCCTTCTAACCCTAATTTTCTATGATTCTATAAAGGGTGACGCAGAAAATGTTAGGAAACAAGCAGATAAGGAAAGGGTCAGCTTTTTTCCTGCCTGGCCGCTGCCCCATGCCAGCCCCTCTACACGGAGGTAAGCACTGCAATGAATAACTTTGTTTTTGAAATGGGATGCTAGCTCAATTCATAGAACTGATAGAGGATGCCTTGAGCTGAGGTTGGACGCAGAGAGTGGTAGTTCATGGAAGTCAATCATCGTGGTGCACCGTGACCAGTGGGGTCCCCCAAGGTTCCATCCTTGGGCCTCTTTAACATCTTCATTAATGTGGACATTGGTATCAGAAGTGGACTGGCCAAGTTCGCCGATGACACCAAACTTTGGGGTAAAGCGGGCTAAAGCGTCCACACCTGAGGACAGGATGGTGATCCAGGCTGACCTTGACAGGCTCAGAAAATGGGCAGATGAAAACCTGAAGTTGTTCAACACCAAAAAATGCAAGGTACTTCACCTTGGGTAGACAAACCTGCAGCATACTTACAGGCTCGGCACTGCTACACTTGCAAGCACCACGGCCGAAAGGGACTTGGGCGTCATGATTGACCACAAGACGAATATGAGCCACCAATGTGATGTTGCAGCTGGTAAAGTGAGCAAAACTCTGGCTTGCATCCATAGATGTTTCTCAAGCAAATCCCAGGATGTCATCCTCCCACTGTACTCGGCCTTGGTGAGGCCGCAGCTGGAGTACTGCATCCAATACTGGGCTCCACAATTTAAAAAGGATGTGGCGAAGCTTGAGAGAGTCCAGAGGAGAGCCACGTGCATGATCAGAGGGCAGGAAAACAGGCTTTATAAGAGGCTGAGAGCTGTGGGACTCTTCAGCTTGGAAAAGTGCAGGCTCAGGGGGGACCTAGTGGCTGCCTATAAGTATATAAGGGGCGTATATCAGGATCTGGGGAAACACCTGTTCACCAGAGCGCCCCAAGGGATGACAAGGTCAAACGGTCACAAACTCCTCCAAGACCGTTTCAGGCTGGGCATAAGGAAGAACTTATTTACTGTCCAAGCCCCTAAGGCCTGGAACAGACTGCTGCCAGAGGTGGTGCAAGCACCTACTCTGGACTCCTTTAACATTTGGATGTTTATCTTGCTGGGATCCTTTGACCCCAGCTGACTTCCTGCCCATGGGGCAGAGGGCTGGACTCAATGATCTTCTGAGGTCCCTTCCAGCCCTAATGTCTATGAAATCTATAATGAGGGATGCCTTGAGTCTAAAAAGGTTGAGAACCACTGCCTTAAAGCATGTTTGTAATGTCCCAATTACAAAGATGGGGTAAATATCCTGATTTTGTTGTTTCTTTGAGGGCCTATTATGCTAACAATACTTCAACAATTAACCACTGTACTAGTGTTGTAAGAGCCAAGTTCTCAGAAAGTTGACCCATTAAGCAGTTTAGTCCAGATTAGTGATTCTTTACCAGGGTGCCACAGCACCCTGAGGTACCTTGAGATTGTTTTATGGGTGCCCTGGGGTATCACACAATGTTGACACTGTTAGGTTTACAAACATGATTCACAAGATAAACCCAGAGATTTCAAATAGAAATCCATAGTTGTGGTCTTTCTGAACTCCTTGCAACAGAAAAACTACTAAGAGCTGGCATTTTTCAAGGGGTGCCTTGAGTCTGCCTAGGTGTGCCTCAAGTCTAAAAAGGTTGCGAACCACTAGTCTTGATGAAGTAAACTGAAAAAAACCAAGCACCCTACTCATTAGGTGTTTCGCCCCAAACAACATTATAGTCCATTTCAGAAGGGAATATGTTTTTCCACACTTACAGTTTCTGCTGATGTTATGCGTGTGTAATGTGGGGCCTGAAAAAAAGGTCACCATTTTTTTTTTGCAAACGGAAAGCTCCCAAAAGCAAATCACCATCCATACTGACTGGTAATAAATTTGTTACTTACTGTTTTTCTGGCTGAACAACTGCAATTTTCTTCTGTTTATTTACTATAAGTCAGGGAGAAAAGGAGATTGGAGGGTAAGAACACAAAGTGAAAGAACAAGCAAATTTAACTTTCATTATGAAACTTTTACACATATCATTTCACAGCCAATATATGCTGCACATTTTAGTCATCTTGGCAAAATTATCCAACCAGTATGGACTGACTAATATAATGAAATGAGGAATGGCTCTCAGTTTTATATACACACTCCTCATAAAAGATCGGAGATCTGGCAACACTTATTTGATATGTTCCTTCTATCCATTTAAGGTAGTGTTAGAGTGATGTTGTAGCTGTGATGGTCCAGGAATTATGTGAGAGGCAAGGATTTCTTAGGGCGATATCTTTTATTGGACGGTGTAGTTGGGATAGAGTTAGACAAGCTTTCAAATCCAAGACATTGCTTCCTTGCATCTCAAAGCCCCCCCGCCGATGAAGACTTGAATTCAAAAGCTTGCCTAACTCTGTCCCAGCTATGCAGTTGGTCCAATAAATGTATCACCCTAAGAAATCCTTGCCTCTCACATAAATATAAAGCTCATTCTTAAAGCCCATTAGGCTTAGATGCTACATACACTGCCAAAACCCAAGCCAGTCTGAAATGCCAATGCATAAGAAGTATATGTTTTTATGATTTTACCTTGGGTATTAGATGTGCAAACAAAGTGTTTCAAATCCCTTTCCAATTTAAAGCACTTTGGCATTGTGCAGATGTACAGCTCCTGCCCTTCTGGAGCACTTTAAAATGGCTATGCTGGTGTTCTGCAGACATTCTAGCATGCCTTTCAGGCCCCAGTCTCTGGAAGTCATCAAGGACAGCTGAACACAAAGGAGAATACGAACTTGCTGTCTGACCAAGCACTGCATCTCCCCTCCCTGCCGTCCCCGACACTCTCACACTTCTGCTGGGAGGCCACATTCATGGAGATCTGTGCCAAGCTTTCCCCAGTGCTTCATAAGCAAGCCACCAGCATAAAAGCACTCCTCATTGTGGAGAAACATTTGGCCATCCTTACCTGGAAGCTCCTTTTTCTGCCTGTTGAGTGTGGTTATAAGAGTCTCCATCACTGTCTGTGAGGAGAAGGGCATGGTAGACATGATGTTGATGATCCGGTCTGATATGAGGTTGAGGGGACAGTCTGTTAGGATGGTTCAGGTTGCAGTATTAGCAAGGGAGACCTTAGATGAGACTGCTGGGTGATAAGCCTCCAAAAATCAAGCCACCTCTGTTTCTGAACAGGAGGGACTCTCCAAATTCTAAGTTACCCTCCTACTGCCAGATAGGCTCCAAAAAAGAGAGTCCTTCCCTTTTTCCTGGGTTAGAAGCATTGGAGTTGTTGGTTTCTTGTGGACTGTCTCAGGAGCTGACAAAAGAGTAGGGTTCTATGAAATCATCCCCCACCATAATCTGTGATAGCTCCTTATAATAGGCACGTCACCTGGTGGCTGCTAGAGACTTGATTAGCATCTTGGGCCTTCCTGTAGAGACCTTTCAGAAGCTTGCTCTAAAAAGGCCCTTGATACTGTCCTGTTACAGCAGAGCCCAAATCCCAGGTGTCAGGCAAATGCCTTTATGCCTGACAGTAAATAGCTGAGGTCACACCTAAGCCAGGTCCTGTGACACTGAAGCACTAGAGTTTGGCATGTACCTCAAAGGCAGCTCCTTAGATCCAGAGGGTTGTGGGTCACTCTGGGATGCCAAGGGATCAAGCAACCCTGTTCTCACACTCCCGTGGAGAGTTCAAATGTTGAGTAAAGTGCTTCAAAGGGAAGTGGTTCAGAGAAATTTCTGTTGTTCCAGGTTATTTTTGAAGTGGAAAGGCCATTTTGAAGCATTTCATCAGGTGTGTACATCTGCCCCCTCACTTTTTGGAGTGCTGCAAAGGCACTTGGAGAGCTTCACACTTTATGTCTGTCCACGCCCACTGTCTCATATTCCTTCCCCACTCTACCTCGCCACCAACAAGCAAAATATTCTTATAATGTTCAGATTTTGTATTTTGGAGATTGGCAACTGCATAGACTGCGTGGGCTTTTTATTTTTAAAGGAATAACCACCATCTCTTTCAAGGTGGTGTAGTCATCTGTAGTTTGACAAAGCATCTTACAAATAAGTAATGAACAGGATACAGGAACACATGTCTTCGATCAGAAGAGAAGACTGATAGGAAATTTTTGATCCCGTTTAAATACTGATTGCCAAATTCCCGATTTATTTCAGATGTGTTGTCTAGTTGGGCTCTCCTTCCTTTTGGCCTGGATCTTTGTACTGCATATTTCCCGGTCAAATTTTTCATTATTTGTGCTGAGTGGATGACAACTTACTGCTATCTCTGACCTGTATGACATTATGTAAGCTCTTGAAATGGTCCCTCCACATTAGCCTTAATGTCTGATACTGTAATCTCAGTTCGTTACTGGATACATACTAGGCAATTCTAACCCTGTCTTTTGCTAAGCCCATCTGCATTAGCTCATCAACAGTCAACCAAGTGATACAGATACACACTTTCCAATTTTTCTGTCATGCATTGTCTTGCTTGCTTTCTGTAGCAGGGGCCCAAAACTGGACATAGTACTCTAGATGTGGCCTCATCAGTGCCAGACAGAGGGGAAGAATCACTTTTCTGGATCTTCTGGCAACACTCCTACTAATGCAGCCCAGTATGTCATTAGCCTTCTTGGCAACAAGGGCACACTACTGGCTCATATTCAGCTTATTGCCCACTGTAACCCACAGGTCCTTTTCTGCAGAGCTGCTGCCTAGCCAGTCAGTGCCCAGCCTGTACTGGCACATGGGATTGTTCCATTCTAAGTGTAGGATTTTGCACTTGTTCATATTGAACCTCACGAGATTTCTTTTGGCCCAATCCTCCAATTTGTGTAGGCTTCTTTAAATCCTAAACCTACCCTCCAGCATATCTACTACTCCCCCCCAGCTTGGTGTCGTCTGTGAACTTGTTCAAGGTGCAATCCATCCCATCTTCCAGATTGTTAATGAAGATACTGAATAAAATGGTCCCAGAACCGATCCCTGGGGCACTCCACTTCATACTGACTGCCTACTAGACATTGAGCTACTGACTACTACACTCTGAGCTCAATTTTCTATCTATCTTACCAGCCAGTTTTCTATCTTACAGTCCATTCATTCAACCCATACTTCCACAGCTTGGCTGAGAGAGTGTTGTGGGAGACTGTATCAAAAGCCTTGCTAAAGTCAAGGTACCACATCTACTGATCCCCCTGCATCTACAGAGCTAGTCATCTCATCATAGAAGGCAATCAGGTTTGTCAGGCATTGTCCTTGATGAATCCACATGGACTGTTCCTAAGCACCTTCTGCATGTGCTTAGAAATGGATTCCTTGAGGATGTGTTCCACTATGTTTCCAGCAATTGAGGTGATTACCAGTGTGTAGTTCCCTGGATCCTCTTTCTTCACTTGCTTAAAGATGGGTACTATATTTGTCCTTTTCCAATCATCTGGGACCTCTCCTGATCGTCATGAGTTTTCAAAGATGATGGCCAGTGTCTCTGCGATCACATCAGCCAACTCCCTTAGCACCCTCAGGTGCATCCCATCTGGCCCCATGGAATTGTACATGTCCAGCTTTTCTAAATAGTCCTTAAACTGTTCTTTCACATTTAGGGTTGCTTACCTTCTCTCCAAACTGTGCTACCAGATGTAGTAGTCTGGGAGCTGACCTTGGCTGTAAAGACTGAGGTGAAAGGCACCCAAGTACTTCAGCCTTGTCTGCATCCTCTGTCACTAGGTTGCCTCCCCCATTCAGTAAGGGACTGACACTTTCCCTGATTTTCCTCTTGTTACTGATGTACTTGTAGAAACTCTTCTTGTTACCCTTCCACTAGATGTTTGAAGAAAGCCTCATCCACCTCATCCTCCTGGTCTGGTGGTGTACAACAGACACCCATCACAACATCACCCTTGTTGCTCTCCCCTCTGACAGTAGCCCAGAGACTTTCAACAGGCCTCTTTCCAGTTTCATACTGGAGTTCTGAGCAATCATATGGCTCTCTTACATAAAGTGCAACTTCTCCTCCTCTTCTTCCCTGCCTGTCTTTCCTGAACAGTTTATATCCATCCATGACAGTGCTCCTGTCATGCAAGCTATCCCACCAAGTCTCTGTTATTCCAATCTCGTCATAGTTCCGTGACTGTGCCAGGACCTCCAATTCCTCCCACCTGTTTTCCAGGCTCCATGCATTCATGTACAGGCACCAAAGATAAGTAGCCGATTGTCCTGATTTCTCAGGAAAAAGAGAACACCTCCCCTGTTGCCCACTCCTTCTTGTGCTCCCTCCAGGTCACTTCCCCACTTACCTCAGGGCCTTGGTCTCCAGCCCCCAGCGAACTTAGTTTAAAGCCCTCCTACTAGGTTAGCAAACCTATCTGTGAAGATGCTCTTCCATCTCTTCATAAGGTGGAACCCATCTCTTCCTAACAATCCTTCATCCTGGAACATCATCCCGTGGTCAAAGAAGCCAAAGCCCTAGTGGCAACACCACCTACACAGCTATTAGGGCTGGGCGAAATGGCACTGTTCCATTTCAACTTCAGTCTCAAGGTTTGGACGGAACAGTGTTTTGTTTTGAATTTCATTTAGAGTTGAAACAGCTGGTCTGTCTCACTGCATCGAAACAGTGGGGCTGTTTTGACGTTGTTTCAACATTTCACCCAACCATCAGGCTGGGGAAACGAACTGAGCCCAGCTGGGCTGAGTTCCCAACCCCAGCCCCACCATTGGGCTGGGGAAATGAACTTAGCCCAGCTGGGCTCAGTTTGTTTCCCTAGCTCAACCATTGCACTGAGGAAAGGAACTGAGCCCAGTTGGGTTGACTTAGTTTCCCCAGCCTGATCTTCCCATCCCGTCCCAGATCGGGCTGGGGATGGGCTGACTTCCCATCCCCAGTCCGATCGTAGGGCTGGGGAGGGGAACTGAGCGACTGGGCTCAGTTCCTTTCCCCAGCCCAACTGCAGCACTTGGGAGGGGAACTGAACCCAGGTTCAGTTCCTTTCCCCTGCACTGTGATCAGCTTCCCGCAGCCCATTGGTGGGAGATGGGGAGAGCCAAGGCTGTGCTCCCAGCGGCTGCTGGGAGCGCAGTCCTGGTTTTCCCGTTTCCCACCACCTCACTGCTGGTTGCTTTGAAACTCAAAACGTTTTTAAACTTTCAAAACGTTTTGATTAGCCTCGTTTTGTTTTGAGGCTGTTTCGAAGCCCTTTCTTTCAATTCGATTTCACTGTTTTGAGCTCGAAATGAGTCGAAAGTGTCGAATCGAAACAGCTGACGAAATTTGGCACAGCCCTAACAGGTATGCATTGATTTGCAGGATGCACCTGCTTCCACCTGGGCCCTTTCCCTGGACTGGAAGGATCAAGAAAAATACCACCCGAGCCCCAGTCCCCTTCACCCTTGCACCCAGAGCCCCGTAGTCACTTTTGATCTGCTGAGGGTCTCCCCCAGCAGTATCATTGGTGCCACATGGATGAGCAGCATGGGGTAGTAGTCAGAGGGTTCGATGAGTCTCGGTAATCCATCAGTGACATCTCATATCTGGGCCCCAGGCAAGCAGCAGACCTCCCAAGACAACAGGTCAGGCTGGCAGATGAATGCCTCTGTCCCCTGCAGAAGGGAGTCTCTCCAACCACCAGCATCTGTTGCTTCTTCTTGGTGGTGGTGGTCTCGATGTCTTTTACTTTTCAGAGGCCTGCCCTGTCCTCCTCCACCAATGGAATGTGCTCCTTCTCCTCTGTTGCTAGAGCTCTATATCTGTTCTCCAGATGAGGAAATGAATATTTCTGCTTGCTGCCAGAGGTCACAAGCTTCCACCTTCCTCAGAGTTCGTGTCCTTTACCTTCTCTAGTGTTGCCTTTGACAGTTTTCTCCACAGTCCTGAAGGTCTCATCCAGCATCAACCTGATGAACTCTTCATGACGGAGGATGCTTCGGAGCCTCACCACTTCCTCCTGTAGATCTTTTGTCTGTTCCCTGAGAGACACCACCAGAAGGCACCACTCACATCGCAGGCACTCCCCTACCTGGCCATCACTGGAAGGAACCTGCAAACAGTAATCCCGACAGCACCAAACCTGGACCTAGGTGGAAGCTTTGATGGTGAGTGGTCCTGCCTGGACAGAAACCTCACGTGTGCAAGCAGAGGCAGTGGCTCTGGCACTGTGATGTCCTCCAGCCATTTCCCTGGGTCTCTTAATCTGCCTCCTCTCTCTTACTGCCCTTCTTCCAAGCAGACCTTCCCTAGTGAACTCACTTGGAAGCTGGCCTGTTTATTGCTCGTTGGCCCCTAAAGGTTCCTTTTTTCTTTCTCAGTCAACATATATACAGGTACTCCTCACTTAACAACCTACCTGTTTAACGACTGCGCAGACTTATGACCAGCTCTCTGTAGAGTCGTAGAGCTGGTCGGCAGCGCAGCGTCTCAGCAGCGTGGCAGCGCGGCATCTCAGCATCAAGCTGAGGGGGATGTGGAGCTGAGCCCGGCACCCTCCAGCCAGCTCTGTGAACCCACGAGGGGGAGAAGCATCCACCCGGAGGGCAGCGGCCAGGACTCACCGCCATGGCCAGCGCCTTCCCGTCCCTGGCTGTTTCCCTGGGGGCCGACTGCGGTCGGTAAGGGACGGCTCCTCGCTTACTGACCAATTCGCTTAACGACCAAGTCGTAGGAACGTAACTCGATCGTTAAGTGAGGAGTGCCTGTATATAAGTTTCCCAGTTACCCTAGCAGGAAGGAATGGGCAATGGAATACTTGCAGAGTACATGGATTCCCTATATGGACTGAAGTCACCTTAAGTATAGTGAGCACTGCTATAAGCTTGTACAGTTTCATCAAAGGGGCTAATGCTGCAGTAGCTACACTTGCCATTTTGGAGGCTCTCACAAGACCTTCCATTCCTACAATGAGTGCTATTAATTACAAAGAACAAATTTGGCAGAACAGAATTAGTACCTATTGCTCTTCGAGGAGGTCTGAGCTGGTATCCATTGGTCTCGCACCAACCCATAGGAAATATATTCATAGATTCCACACTCACTATGCATTCAGGGACTGCCGTTTTGGAGCCTATTCAGTCAACAGAAACAAAATTTTAAAAGAATAGCAGTTTTAAAAATAGTCTGTATGTCATCTGCTAAGTTTGGCAGCAAAATTACTTTTGCTTAATAAAGTCTTCTGGAACAACATCAGTTGTTTATTCTTTTCCTCCCTTCACTGAATGGTAACTGTTTCCAGATCTCATTTCTTCACTCCTACAAGCAGCAGTGTCATTTCCTTTCATTCAACAGAGTAGTGGAATGAAAAGTAAGTGCATCTTGGGCCATTAAAAGAACAAATGGCTGGGGGGAGGACTATAGAAAAGCATGTATAACATGGGACATCCCTATTTTGGAGATACTTTTAAAAGGAAAATCTAACAAGTGCTATACAACTTTTAGACCTCTGTGAAACTTTGATCAAAATCAAATATATGCACAAAATAGGACAAAGCCTATGCTCTATATAGAGAACAAGGACAGCCCTCAAACTAATGATGAAACTGGATTTGCACAGTGCAGAGACCTAATGCTGACTCTCTACATCAGTGGTTCCCAAGCTTTTTTTTCTGCACCCCGCTGCTGGAAGCGGAGTGTGGCAGTGGCAGTGGGGGAGCTCCCAGCACACGGGAGGGCTTCTCTTTTCTGTGTGGCACCACTGGCATTGCCCCCGCAACCCTCATTTGGGTACTGACCCAGTGTTGGGAACTGCTGCTCTGCACACAGTGATTTTTACCTCAAGCGCGCATCGTTATGTTAATCTTATCTATCTGGTAGATTTGCCATCCCCAAGAAGCAGTGCCCTCAGTCACTGGGAAAGCTGCCTTTGAAACTGGGAGGAGGGCAACCACCACTATGAGATTCTTGGGAAGGACTAACTCTCGCTGAAAGTCACAGCGCCAAACAGCCTGTCTTCCAAAACACAACTACTTTGCTTCCAGTGTAGAAGGAAGTCTGCCTGGAGTAAGGCAGCCTGCCTGGAGTAATGCAGCACACTGGGGACAGACATTTTCTATACAAACAGAGCCTTAATGCCTAGGATGGGGCAAAAAGAATAGGCCAGTAATACTGCACTCCTATCGAAGGAGACAGTACCATATTTTCTTGCATACATTGTGCCTTTTTCTCCAAAATCAGCAGCTGGAAACAGGAGAGTGCAGGATATGTAAACAAATATGGTAACAACAGTTTGCCACTTAAACTTCAGCTGGGCAAAAGCCAAAATAATGTTGGTATGCAATCTGCAAGGAGCAGAACAAAAACCATGTTCAGCTACCTACCTGCTCCTAATCAATTACTTACTACAAGGAATGATCTTTTTTCCTTCTTTCTGCCTTTCAAAAACAAGGTGCATATCTTATTCTGAGGTATGACATATGTGATAAAATATGGTGACTCCTGGCCATTATTAGCAGAAAGTCTGACAATTTATTACAATCTCTGTGTCAGACTGTGGAACTAACACCACTCCTGGGAAAGTCAAACCCAGTTCAAATCTTTCTCCCATCAAATCATACTTACCTTCTAGCTGAAGCCAGAGATAGGAACCTTTCACCTTGGTAACTGTAGCAATGCAAATTTCCTCAGTATCAACAGGGTTCACAGCTTCAAGCTTCATGCTCTCTTTAAATCCATGGTCAGAAGTGAGCTAACGAAAGGATGACAGATCAAGAAGAGTTTGAATCAAGTAAATATATATGCATTTACCAGTGCATTAGTTATAAACTTCCATGTGAAAGACTATATTGAACAGTCTTGATTACATGAGTGTGATGGGAGATCTGAAAACATGTAAGCACATAAGGATCCAGAGGAATTTCCAGTGTAATTAAGAGGTGTTGGAAGATGTAAGCCTATTTCAGATTACAAGGTATTTTAGTAAAGCAAGCCAGTTAGGTATTTAATGACAGACACATGCAAGTGTGTATTTGCACTGAAACATGAGATGGATGCAGCTATGAAACTTGATGACAGGATTTAATCAATACTATTTAGCAATTAAGAAACTCCTCCCAACAACTTTTCTGCTAGCTATCTCTTTCACCTGCAAACTGAAAATGAGGAGGCAAGGCAGAAGATTACCTTAATCTGCCTTTTTCCTTTGAGTCTGGAGAACCTTTTTCAATGCATCTGTGACAATCAATCCCAAGTAAATGTCTTTCCTCATCCAAATTAGGTACAAGTTTTGCATCTAGCAAGGGAGGTTTTTTTTTATTTTTTTGCTTTTTTCCTAAAACAGCAGGATTTTATTTTATTGTCCCTACCTGACCCATCATCTACTTACTTTTATAATAACTAATAATTAACAACTTTGGAGATATTGTGCAGTCTTCAATGCCTCTCAACCCACCATTCTTGGAGAAAGGATAAGTATTCAGCTATTTGCAAAGGACCACAGCTTGTATTTGCAGATAATTAGGGGAAGGACCAAGAAGAGAACATAGCATAATGAGAAACTTGCCAGGAGCACCCTCTTCAAATCAAAGTGTAAGGGATGTCCCTCAATAAATTCAAGGGCCTAAACAGTTTAAGTAAAGAAGGGTGGCAAGGGTTATAGGAAACACTTGGTGCTCCTCATATAAACTGCTAGGAGACAGTGATAACATCCTCATGGTACAGAAAGACAAATACTCTAAATCTAATCCTAGCAGGTAAGAGCCTAGCAGTTCATTTGTAAAAATGAGTGGGTATTTATCAAATGTTAAGTTAAAAATATAGTTTAGGAAGATAGCAGCAATCTAGGTAAGTAGATAAGGGTAAGCCAATGGAAAGAACACTTAACATACACACCCCTAGGGCAGTGCAAATTTGCAGCAACTCCATGGATACTTATACCTCAGTTATGTGAGGTGTTTTACTCTGGATTTATGCAGACACTGACAACAGCATCTGGTCCAGTCTCCTCGTTTGGAAACTCAATGTTCAAGCACTCTGGTTCACCTTTACACACCACTCACGAGGCACTTCTGTTTTTTTAGTAGCCATAGGATTAGATTGAAGTACTGACAACTGCCACAGAAAGCACAACCGTTATTTAATTAGGCCACAAGTACCAGTGGTCACCTACATAAGAAAAGGCATCATTCTACAGAAGCTCACCAAAGGAAAACAGCTCTGGGGAGCAGCCTCAGCACCACACTGTTTGAGGTAGTCCGCCCAATCAAAGTCCTGCCTGGAATAACCTGAGCAAAGAGCAAGCAAAATCGTTGTTTAAATGAATTAAAGATGACTGCTTTCAACCAACACTAGCATTATCCAGAATAAGGATAATTTAAATTTCTGGGCAGAGCCTCCAGACTCCATTGTCACAGAGACTTAATCCAGCACCATTCCCATTGAAGGTCAGGTGGAACGTCTCCCAAACATGCAGCACAGGTTCAGGCCCTACATAGTTTTTCATTCATTGGGTCAGAGCTGTCCAACTTCTGAGTGGCTAGAGCTTCAAGCTTGCCCTGCACACCATACTGGGCCACAAAGCCCCCCCTTGCTTCCCTGGGCATCAGAGACCTGACCCCTTTTGATGTACTGTGCTGGCACCCCCGTGCCACACTACACAGGGTCCCTAGATGTGCCTGAGCTACGTGACTATGGGCTCCCTCTGTCTCACCAACTACGTTATCCTACTCTGTCCTTAGGGGCAGGAAATGGAAGCCAGAGGAAGGAAGGGGAGCTTGGAGACTCCAGTGGCAGTAGCTAGAGAAGTGGTGGAAGGGGCACTTGGACAAGAGCCTGGGGGCTATGTTTTCACTCCTCAGGGGCCAGATGAGGCCTATGGGCCGCCAGCTAGAAAGCTCTGTTTTAAAGTGATGCTCGTCCTCAAACACCTCAAACACCTCTACATTTCTATGTTTAAATGTCAATCCAGAGAATTCCGAACTGACAGAGCAGTCTTTGATATAAGCTAAATTAATATGTATAAATCCCACCTTCCCTCCCTTAAATCCTCCATGTATTTATGAGTAAGAGATGAGCAAGCCTCCTACTTACTTCTAGAGACAGTTAACCTGGGACTAGTTAGGAGATTCTAAGCGGGAGAGGGAAGTAACTAACACATGATACTATATGCGCACTGCCTTTTAAAGAAAGCATTTGGACTCCTGGCAAAGTTCCTAGCCAACAAAGCTCAAGAGTTATCAGCAGGGATCCTGGTTTTCTCTGTTTAAAAATCCCAAATTCTTTGATAAAAAACCCCCCTCAAATTCTCTTATTAAAAAAAATCCCAAAATCTGCATTTTTCCATGATTAAAATGAAACACCACTATAGAAGTATCAGTTGAACACAATATTTTATTGATATATTTGGAATTTTCAAGCAATTTGGAAGCCTACCAGTGCCTCAATCATTAGTATAAAATGAATTCTAAATATCTATATATTTTGGCATTTGATTTTTTTTTTAATCATAGAAAATCAGAGCTTCCCCTGTCACCTTCACTCACCAGGATGTGGGTCCAGCTGAGGCTGTGCCCCCCACTGCTTTGTGGCACTGAGCAGCCCTGATATGCTGGTGCGCTGCCCCTGCCTGTGCCAGTCTCCTGACCTGCCCCTGCCTGTGCCAGTACTCCTGACCTGCCCCTGCCTGGCCCTGCTGGTGTCCTTCATTCCTGACCCGCTGCCCCTCACTCTCCACCCACACCCCCCTGCCCACAGCCCCCCAGTGTGCGGGGAATGGAGTGGATGTGTGGTGAAGCGGGGGGTACAGGTACAGGTGATACATGAGGGCATGTGGAGGGCACAAGCAATGCAACAGAGGGGTGAGGGGGCATGTGCCCCCTGAGATTTCTGTGCCCACACTGCAGCATGGGGCTGCAGCCAGGCCAGACCAGTTCCAGGCAGGAACCACCTCTGCAGCCCAGCGGGCGGGACCCAGCAGAAGAGAGAGCACCGTGCCACCATGGCCACGTAGGTGAGGTGCCCTCGCCCACCCAGCAGCAGTGGGGGAACAACTCTGCTCTGCCATTGCTACACCTCATATTGGTGGTGCCAGGTCTCACCTGCTGGGCTGTGGAGACAGCTTCTGCCCAGCTGCAGCCTTGCATCCCCTGTGGGTGCAGAAATCTCAGGGACCATGTGACCTCCCCACAGCATTGCCTTAGCCCTCCTGCCCCTGAATGCATTGCCTGTGCTCCTCCACCCCTCAACCCATCACCTGTGCCTCCCCCAACCCCCAGAACATGTCACCTGTGCCCCCCACCTCCGACCCCATAGACTTACCTGGAAGGATATGTAGGAGCTGTTCTCCACTGGTGCTTCGCTGCCATATGCATGCATGTGTGCACATGCATGTAGTATCTCTTGCCTCTGATTACCCTTCCCACTCTCCCTAGCTCCAAGAAGCCCCTTGCAGTCTGGAACTCTGCCAGTCTGCAAGGGAAAACCTGCATTTTTCTCTGTTAAAGGAGAAAATCCGTGTTTTTCTCTGTCATAGGAGAAAATACGTTTCCTCGCATTTTTTCACAGCAAACGGAAAATCTGGGTCCCTGGTAATCAGTTGTTAACTACAATTTCTTACTAGACTATGCTAGTCTAGAATATGCTAATTCTGTTCTTTATCAGCAAACAAACTGTCTAAATTTGGCTCTGGTGAGCAAGTCAATAGGGGATTCTGAATTCCTCATAGAAAAAAGATACATTGAACCCTGACTATATTTTTGGTTATCTGGACCAGATAAAAGTTTCACCTTTAAAATTAAAATTTCCAATCCACTTTGATATCTGTTTAACAGAAATAGTTATTTCCCTAGTGCCTGAAGTATTGTATCCATGAAATAAATTCTGAGTAGTGTAACAAGGATGAATCGTTATGATTGCCTACATAGGACCGTTAAAGCATGGTAACTTATCTTCTATAAGCATGGCCTAATGGAGAATTCTAATATAATAAAAGCCTTAGTCTGTCTGTCTGTCTGTCTGCCAATCTGTCCATAATGCTTTATTCGCGCTCTGGTTGGCTGTCTTGGCAGCCAATCAGAGTGCTCTACACAGACAGAGACAGATGGTGGAGCACCGCCATGACAACGGGGACTGAGGGGCTGAAGGGGGCCTCTCTCTCCTGTTCCATGGAGGCCAAGTAGGATGGCGGGGACTGGAGCAACACCATAATGGAGGGGATGGACCCCCCCTCCCTGGTCTGCTTCTTGGAGCCAGGGACCGGCACCCCCCGCAACCCCCCACAACAGCTGGCAGGGAGGGGAGGCAGCGGGGAACATGGGAGGGAGTGGAGTGGGAAGAGGAGGGAGGGTTACCGGTGACTGTGCCCCACCACAGCCGTGACCACCACTGCAGTCACAGGCCCCGGCCCTAGCCCAAAGTGGCAAGGGAGAGGTAGAAACGGCTCTGGCCTCAGCCTGAAGTGGTAGGGGGAGGTGGGGAATGGCCCCAGGCCTGGCCCAAAGAGGAGGGGGGAAACAGCTCTGGCCCCGACCCCGGCTCTGGCCCAAAGTGGCAGGGGGAGGTGGGGAACAGCCCAGGCCCCAGCCTGAAGGGGAAGGGAAATGGCCTAGGCCCAGGCCCTGGCCTGAAGCAGCGGGGGAGGTGGGGAGCAGCCCCAGCCCTGGCCTAAGGCTGGGGTGGGGAAGACAGACAGATGGACACAGACATCTGTCCCCATCAGCACCCCCACCATCATTCTTGATGGGCAATTTGCTAGTCTACCATAAATGTCTAATATATTCAGTCAGGCCACAGTTTTCAGCTTGATTTCTGGAGCCTTTATATAAGCTACAATGCAGATTTCTAGGGAGGACTGGAGTCCACTGCGAAGACAATGGGTATTTAGATCAAATATTCCCTTCCCATTCTCTCTGATAAACAAAACAAAGACAAAAGGATGGGAAGTAAGTACCAAGGAACAGCACTGTTATGCTATTCTGCCAGCACAGGATACTAGATGCAACTGAAACTAGCAGAGTATCTCCAAGGGGAGAACCACTGTTTCAAAACAGATAGCTAAAGTATACCCCATACAGAGTACTACTACCATGACTGGGGTTGAGAAATTTATAGAAAAAGGATCTATAATACTATTTACCTTCAAAATAATGAAGTCCACCTAACTCTTTCTGGGAATCACCACAACAGGAGCTTTTATGTTTGCTCTATTATGTCAGCCAAAATGGTGTCTCAGTGAATCCAGCTGCCCTCCAGAGCAGACATCACTACTTATGGTGTTGGTCAAAGAGGACTGGAACCATTTGGTGGGTTTCTGTTATGTGATGAAGTAGTTAGAATTTACAGGTCTGGATCATGTATGTGGAGAAGGAGTGTAGAACTATGCTAGCCGTAGAACCCTAGTACACCTGACCCAAGGAGAGGGAAGAGAAACTCATAATTTATGTTCCTATAAGCCAATGGAAAGCTAATGCAACTCAGGCATTACGATGAGTGGCAGCATGAAACCCCCGGCTCTGAATTGTAACAAACCTTTCCATCTGAGAGTCTTGGAAAGGAAGTCAGTGGGCACAATGGCTATTCTTCCTCTATCCTGTGAAATATATGTTTTAGGAAACTGCTAACATGTAGAATAGTTTTTAACCAACAACTCTCATTCGTTTCCAAGTAACAGGAAAAAAAGTCATTAACCTAACACCACTAGAAGGCAGAGGAGGAGCCTTATGTCCAGAAACAGATTCCAATGTCATGTTTACTGGGGTCTGATACTATATTGAACCTATAATTCATCTATGTTCAAGATCAGGGGTGGCCGACCTGTGGCACAAATGCTGTAAGTGGCACAGGTGGCCTCCATGTGTGGCATGTGGCATACAGTGCAGGGAACTTTAAGCAAAGAATCAGATTGGGCATGGATCAGAAAGCAGATCAAGCAGGGAACACAGGGTGTAGGGAGCAGCAAATATCGAACAGGGAAAGGAGACTGAAGTTGTACTTGGGGAGGGCACAGGGCTTAATTCGTAGCACACCTGTCAAAAAAGGTTGGCCCCCACTGTCCTAGAACATACTCTTTCCTGTGTAGATACCTAGAAGCCTCCCTTTTCACCTCTTAAGATCAGCACTCTCTGGAGCACCCCTAGCCAGTGACAATCTCACACCAGAGTACATCTCTATGGGATACCTTGATTCCACTGCTGTCTCTTTGCATTTACATCACTCTTACCACTTTATCTCCAGTCTTGCACAAAGTCTTGAAAAAATGTAGTCCTAGACTGGGTATTTACACAAGACTCTGAGGTCAGCAATCCCTCCTTTCCATAGAGACCTCCTAGAATCTGTGTGTGATGAGAGTGCAGACCTACCTGGCGGGGGGCTGAGATGCAATCCATTTTTCAGACTCCACTGAACAGGGAAAATACCAGCACTGTTGACATGGCAAACATAGGACTGGGTAGTTGGGCATTCGGGTCGCAAGTCATCAATTTCTACCAAGAAATATTTTTCATTGAATACCTGCAGAGTTATCCAAAAAATTTAGAGTAGCAGAGGAAAGTACTACTGCCTTTAAGAAAAAATACCACTGTCAGATATTCTTCCAAATCCCTCATCAAAAAAAATTGGGGCTTGTCTATATGCAGAAGGTACTGCCCTAAGCAAGGACTCAAATTTACAGTGCACTAGCTACATCACATTAATTCATGTAGACCCTTCCAGTGCAGACTAAGTGACAGGGAATAAACTACCTCATGCAAAAGGTCTCAGTGTGTGCCAAGACTGTCCACAAGGAAAAAATTGGTGCAAAGTAGCTAGTGGGCTATAAATTCCCACCTTAGTCTACTTCCCAATAATTTCCCCATATAGATGTGTCCTCAGAGGATTAAAAAGAAGGTAGGATGGCCTTAGGAATCAGAGACTAGTAGACTGTACTCCAATACCTGGAAAGTTAATTAAAGCAATCAATTTATAAGCACATCAAGGAAGCAGCAGTAAGTAATTACTTGGGTCTTGGACAAAAGTTACTTTTGTAGTGTTATATACAATCTTATAGTGTTACAAAACTCCAGGGTCCACACATTCAGGTTGTTTGTAGCATTACAGAAAAGTTGGATCTATTACAAAAAAAGTTCCTGTTTCAAAAAGAAACTTCTTTACAGGCCTATGCTTTGTAGTGTTACTTGTAACATGTGGACACTTGCACATAATGCTACAGGATTCCCCCAGCATCTCACAGCTGTTCAGCCAGTGGACTGTGGGCACTGTAATACCTGACACTCTTGTTGTGATGGTTGTAATAGATACCTTCATAGTAAGTTTTGTAGTATTGCAAATAGCTTCAGTATTGTAGTGAACATGTGTCCAAGAACTCAGAGAGCTCTATTGTGATTCAGAATAAAATAAAAATGTGGTCATCAAGGTAAATGTTTCTCTCTCATGAGAAGATAAACTTAGCAGACAAAATAAAAAAAGAGTGAATATACTATACTCTGGGGCTTTAGGCTCTTGATTACAAATTAGAAACACATCATCTTGTTATAAAATAAAACTAGAATTTGGATTTTTTTTTTTCAAACCCACAATAATAAATTGTTCAATGTGTTAATACTGATTGGAATCCTAGACAAGTTGGTTATTTCACTAGTTCATTATTTTCAAAACTGAAAGAGGATGGATGAGAGCATAGATTAAATTTACATCTGATCTAAAATGGGAAAGTTGTAAATGACTACTTGGAGAATGTGAAGTGTAAGAATACAGGGTAGAGGGCATCTTATTGACTAACTGAATCAGATGCTAAATGAGCTATTGCTCAATAAAACTTATGCATCTCTAATTCAGTTAGTGTAAGGTGCACCTCTACCCTGCCTTGTGTCTGATTTCAGACTAATACAGCTAACTACCACTCTGTGTAAGAAGACAGTACAGACTTAAATACTGGGAAGTTAATAAAATCTAAAGATTGTTATAGAATCATAGAAAATATGGGTTGGAAGGTACCTCAGGAGGTCATCTAGTTCAATCCCCTATTCAAAGCAGGACCATCCCCAACTAGATCATCCCAGCCACGGCTTTGTCTAGTTGAGTTTTAAAAATCTCCAAGGATGGTGATTACACAGTCATTCTGGGTAACCTGTTCCAGTGCTTTACTACCCTCTTAGTGAAAAAGTTTTCCTAATATCTAACCTAAACTTTGCTTGCTGCAACTTGAGATCATTGGTTCTTGTGCAGTCATCTGCCACCACTGAAAACCGTTTAACACCATCCTCTTTGAAACCACCCTTCAGGTAGCTGAAGGCGGTTGTCAACTCCCCCTTTAATCTTCTCTTTTCCAGACTAAATAAGCCCAGTTCCCTTAGCCTCTCCTCAGAAGTCATGTGCTCCAGCCCCCTAACCATTTTTACTGCCCTCCATTGGACTCTCTCCAATTTGTCCATATCTTTTCTATAGTGAGGGGCCCAAAACTGGATATAGTACCCCAGATGTGGCATCACCAGTGCTAAATAGAAGGGAGGAATCATTTCCCATGATCTGGTGGCAATGCTCCTACTAATGCAGTCCAATATGTTGTTAGCCACCTTTGCAACAGGGGCACAGTGTTGACTCATATTCAGCTTATTGTTCACTGTAACCCGTAGGGCCTTTTCTGCAGAGCTGCTACATAGCCAATGAGTCCCCAACCTATACTGGCACATGGGACTGTTCTGTCCTAAGTGCAGGACTTTGCAATTCTCCTTATTGAACATATTTGACATAGACATTTCTTTTGGTACAATCCTCCAATTTCCCCAGGTCTCTCTGAATTCTAGCCCTACCCTTCAATGCATCTACTATTTCCTCAGCTTGGTGTCAATCACAGACTTGCTCATGGTTCACTCCATCCCATTTGGGATGTGACAGAGATGATCCCGAACTTTATCCAGCCCACCGATTATTATGCCATGGTTTTAATCCATGTGGGCACTAACAATGCAGCTGGAAACAGTCCAAATCACCTCATGAAGGACTACAAGGCTCTAGGGGGCCAAGCTGAAGGAGACAGAGGTACAGGTGGTCTTCTCATCTATCCTCCCAGTGAGCAGATGTGGACGACGCCACGAGACCTGCATCAGGAAGGTCAGCTTACGGCTTCAGAGCTGGTGTTACGAGACGGGCTTTGGCTTTTTGGACCATGACCCATACTTCTGAAAATGAGACATGCTTGGGTGGGATGGGCTACATCTCTCCCCCAAAGGTAAGCGTGTTTTCTCTTTCAGGTTGGCTGCTCTCCTCTGGCGGGCTTTAAATTAGGTTCATCAGGAGAAGGGGAGGACAAGGACGCAGGGATCCACGGAACACTACATCATGAGATACCCACAAGATCAACCCAGGTAAGTATCAAAGAACCTATTAGATAGGAGTATAGGGGAGATCTAGGGGTAGCCACCAGGGGAATTAAATGTATATATACACAAATGCCAGGAGCATGGGAAACAAGCAAGAGGATCTAGAACTCTGGCTTGTGAGCAGTAACTTTGACCTAGTGGGTCTAACAGAAACCTGGTGGAACTCTACTTATGACTGGATAGTAGGAATAGAGGGCTATAGGTTTACAGGAGAGATAGAGAAGGGAAAAAAGGAGGGGGTGTTGCTCTCTCTGTCAAAGAACAGTACACATCTTCCCTAATCAAATTGGGATCAGAGGATGGACAAGCAGAGATTCTGTGGGTAAGGATCCAAGGGGGTCGGGGGGAAAGGGACCTGGTGGCGGGGGTCTACTACAGACCTCCTGACCAGGAGGACAAGCTAGACGAGGAATTTTCCAGGCAGCTCTCAGAGGCTGGGTAGTCTAGAGACATGGTAGTCATGGGGGACCTTAACTACCCAGACGTATGCTGGGAGGAACAGTCAGCTAGATCTAACTGCTCATGCAGGTTCTTAACCTGCATTCAGGTCCCCCACCTAACACAGGAGGTAAGGAGTCCCACCAGGGGTAACGGCTTGCTCAACTTGGTGTTGGCCACAGGGGATATCCTGGTGGGGGACCTGCAGATTCAAGCCAACTTAGGGGACAGCGATCACCAAATGATAAAATTCACTATCCAGAGAAGGGCGGCCACTATACCTAGCAGGATGCACATGCTAAACTTTAAAAAGGCTGACTTTAATAGGCTCAGTGGATTGGTTAGCAGGGTACTAGGAACCAAGAGCCTAGATACTTTGTGGGGGGTCCAGGAGGGGTGGTCATTCCTTAAGGATACCATTCTTTGGACTCAGAGTAAGACAATCCCATGGCAGAGAAAAGGGGACAAAGGGGCCAGGAAGCTCCTTTGGCTAACCAAGGTCATCCAGGATACCTTAAGGGCAAAAAAAGTAGCATACAGGAAGTGGAAGCAGGGGGTAGCTAGGAAGGAGGAGTACACCTCCTTGGCCCGCACCTGCAGGGAGTCAGTCAGAAAGGCCAAGGCAGCTCTAGAACTCAGGCTAGCGGCAGGGATTAAGGACAATAAAAAGTCCTTCTTTAGGTACATTGGGAGCAAAAAGGGGGTGCAGGGTAGCATAGGATCCCTACAGGACGGGCAGGGGGGCTTAGTGATGGATAGCAGGGACAAGGCAGAACTCTTCAATGAGTTTTTTGCCTCTGTCTTCTTAAATCGGAATCTAGATGAACCCTCGATATGCATCACGGACATCAACAAGGGGAACATCAGCCGACCAATGGTCAGTGCTGATATGGTAAAAGGACACTTGGAGGGACTAGACGTATTCAAATCACCGGGACCGGAGGGACTCCACCCACAGGTAATGAAGGAATTAGCGAGCGTCATAGCCGAACCACTAGCAAGGATATATGAGCACTCATGGTGCTCGGGTCAGGTCCCGGAGGATTGGAAGAGGGCCAATGTTGTACCAATCTTTAAGAAGGGGAGGAAGGAGGATCTGGGGAACTATAGACTGGTCAGCATTACCTCTATCCCAGGGAAAATCCTAGAAAAAGTTATCAAGGAACACATCTGTAGGAGCCTGCTGGCTAATATGATGCGGAGGGGCAACCAACATGGGTTTATAGCAGGCAGGTCCTGCCTGACTAACCTAGTTTCTTTTTATGACAAGGCCACCAAATGTTAAGATGCAGGAATTGAGGTGGATGTTATGTATCTGGACTTCAAGAAGGCCTTTGACGCGGTATCCCATACCATCCTTATTAATAAAGTGAGAAGATTTGCCATGGATGATTATACGGTAGAATGGGTAGCAAACTGGCTCAGGGGTCACACTCAGAGGGTGGTGGTGGATGGGTCAGTGTCAACCTGGAAAGATGTGTGCAGTGGAGTCCCTCAGGGCCTAGTTCTGGGGCCAGTGCTGTTCAGCATCTTCATCAGTGATCTGGACAAGGGGGTGGGAAGCACCCTGTCCAAATTCATGGCTGACACTAAAATATGGGGTAAAGCTAACACTCTGGAGAGAAGGAACCAGATCCAGGCTGACCTTGACAGGTTGGGGAAGCGGGCAGAGAACAACAGGATGCAATTCAATAAGGACACGTGCAAGGTGCTGCATCTAGGGAGGATAAACTGCCATCATACCTATAGGCTGAGGGGTGACCTTCTCAGCACCACTGAGGCAGAAAGAGATCTTGGAGTCATTGTTGACTCCAGGATGAACATGAGTCGTCAATGTGATGAAGTAGTTGGCAGAGTCAATCGCACCTTGTCGTACATCCATAGGCGCTTCACAAACAGGTCCAGGGAGGTGATTCTCCCTCTCTACATGGCACTGGTCAGGCCACAGCTGGAGTACTGTGTCCAGTTCTGGATGCCGCAGTTCAAGCGGGATGCGGACAACCTGGAGAGGGTCCAAAGAAGAGCTACTCGTCTGATTGGAGGCCTGCAGGGAAGGCCCTATGAGGAAAGGCTAAGGGACCTTAACCTTTTCAGCCTCTCCAAGAGAAGGTTAAGAGGGGACCCTGTGGCGGCCTACAAATTCATAAGGGGGAGCAACACGAAGTAGACAATGATCTGTTTACCATGGCACCCCCTGGAATAACAAGGAACAATGGCCATCAGCTATTGGAGAGTAGGTTTAGACTGGACATTAGAAAAAAGTTCTTCATGGTTAGGGTTGCCAGGATCTGGAATAGGCTTCCAAGGGAGGTGGTGCTCATCTCATCCTTGGCAGTCTTCAAGAGGAGACTGGACAGGCACCTGGCCGGGATCACATGATCCCAGGTTTGGTGACCCTTTTCTTGCCTGCCAGGGGCAGGGGGTCAGACTAGATGGCCCATTGAGGTCCCTTCTGACCTTGGAATCTATAAATTTATGAATCTTCCAGATCACCGATGAAGACACTGAACAAAACCAGCCCCAGGACCAACCCCTGGGGCACTCCACTTAGTATGGGCTGCCAACTAGACATTGAGCCATTGATTACTACTGTTTAAGTACAATGATCCAGCCAGTTTTTTTATCCACTTTACAGTCCATTCAACCAACGCATACTTCCTTAGCTTACTTGCAAGGATGTTGTGAGAGACCATATCAAAAGCCTTGTTTAAGTCAAGGTATTCTTCCCACAATCATCTCATTATAGAAAGCAATTAAGTTGGTCAAGCATGACTTGTTTTTGCTGAGTCCATACTGACTGTTTCTAATCACCTTTTTCTCCTCCAAGTGCTTAGAAATTGATTCCTTGAGGACCTGCTCCATTTTTCCAGGGACTGAGGTGAGGCTGAACAGTCTGTAGTTCCCCAGATCTTCCTTGTTCCCTTTCTTGAGGATGGGCAGTATATTTGCCCTTTTCCAATTGTCTGGGACCTCTTTAGGTGCATGAATTCACCAAGGGCAAGTCATGCCTAACCAATTGGGACCCAGAGACTTATCTTGTAAAAAATAAGGAAAATTATGGCTAGTCAACTTAATCACTAGACAGGATATACAGATGATGAAATAAAGATGTCAGCCATGATATGTTGTCACATACAAAAATGAGATAATAACTAGAGGTGCCAAATAAAGGCAAGTAATTATCTCACTCCAGACTTGCCTTCCATTAGTATCAATTTTGAAAGAATCAGTGAGAGAGAAGTGTTTGTTGGAAACCTTAAAAAATTTAATTTTTAAAATAAACAGTACTGTTTTAGATTAATAGATTCATAAAAGTTAGGAGCTGGAAGGGACCTCACAAGATCATCAGGTCCAGCCCCCCTGCTCTAAGGCAGGAAAGACTGCTGTGGTCAGATGACCCCAGCGAGGTGTGCATCCAGTCATCTTTTGAAGTTCTCCAGGGAAAGTGACTGTACCACCTCTGGAAGGAGTCTGTCCCAGACTCTGGACGCACAAACCATAAAGAAGTTTTTCCTTATGTCTAATCTGAAGTGATCTTCTATCAGTTTATGACTATTATTCCTAGTCTTCCCCTGGGTGCCTTGGTGAACAGATGTTCTCCTAGAGTCTGATGTTCACCCCTTATATATTTAAAGGCTGCCACCAAGTCCCCCCCGAGTCTTCTCTTTTCCAGGCTGAACAGACCCCTGCCCTTCAGCCTCTCGTCGTATGGTCTGTTCTCCAGACCTGTAATCATTCGTGTGGCCCTCCTTTGGACTCTTTCCAGCTTCTCTATATCCCTCTTGAAGTGGGGCGCACAGAACTGGACCCTGTACTCCAGCTGCAACCTCACCAATGCTGAGTAGAGTGGGAGGATGACACCCTTAGTTTTGCTTGTGATGCACTGGTTGATGCATGCCAGAGTGTTGTCTGCTTTGCTGGCTATAGTATTTCACTGGTAGCTCATGTTCATTTTGTGATCGATCATGACCCCCAGGTCTCTTTCAGTTGTGGTGCTGGCCAATGTTCCCTCTAAGGAGCAGCAGTCTGTGAGCACACCGCCTCGGTCCATGAGCGCGCCGCCTCGGTCCAGCGTGGGACACTTACTGAAGGGGGCTAGGGCCAGAGGCTGGAGCTGGGGCTGGATGCTGGAGGCTGGAGCTGGGGGCCAGGGGCCAATCCAAGTATATAATGTTGACCTCATCTCCCTTATCCAGGTGATTGTAGAAGGAGATGAGGTTGGTTAGGCATGACCTGCCTGCAACAGAGCCATGTTGACTCTCTTTTAGAATACTGCCTTCTGTTAGCCTATCACTGATGGATTCTTGTAAATTTTTCCAGGATTTTTCCAGGGATTGAGGTCAGACTGATTGTCTTATAATTCTCTGGGTCCTCCTTTCTTCCTTTCTTGAAGCTAGGCACCACATTGGCCATCTTCCAGTGTTCTGAGACCTCAACCGAGCACCATGAGCTCTTGAATAGCTTTGCCCTCAGTTGTGCGATAATGTCAGGCAGTTCTTTCAGCACTCTTGGGTGTAGTTCATCTGGTCCTGCTGACTTGTAGATATCCAGCCTCTCTAGGTATTCCCTCAGAAGATCTTCACTGATTATAGGTCGGTGATCACTCCCACCATGTCCATTCTGCTTCCTGTCAGGCAAGTTAATATCCTTGGTTTGGTGGATGCAAAGTATTCATTTAGGAGTTTGGTTTTCTCCTGAGCATGATTATTAGCTGTCCCGTTGTCTTCAGCAGGGGTTTTACATTTCCCTTATTTTTATTCCTGCTTCCTACGTATCTAAAGAAGGACCTTTTATTGTCTTTGATTTCTGTTGCCAGTTTGCATTTGGTTTCTGCCTTTGCTTTTCTAATCTGCTCCCTACAGGTGCGGGCCATTCCTGTGTACTCCTCTTAGGGGATAATTCCCAGCTTCCATCTCTTATAGGCTTCTCTTTTTGTTTTCAGGAGGTCCATAGCCATCCTATTGAGCCAGGGGGGTCTCCCAGCCCTTTTGCTACCTTCCTTACGAACAGCAATGGACCTTCTTTGTGTGCCAAGGATCATATCCTCGAGGAACGACCACTCTTCTTGGACTCCCTTTCCCAATGGACCATGGTCCCACAGGGCCTCATCCACCAATCTCCTTAGCTTGTAGAAGTCAGCTTTCCTAAAAGCAAGGATTTCTACCGTACTAACTGATTTTCCTGCCTTATGATGGATGGTGAAATTGTTCGTCTCATGGTCACTGTCACCTAGATTACCCTTGATTCTCAGGTTACTCACTAGATCATCCCCTTTGGCCAAAACCATATCTAGGAGTGCCTTTCCTCTGGTCAGCCCATACAATTCTTGAGTCAAATAGAGTTCCTTGATGCAAGTTAGGAAGCTACATGGCAGCTCGGATCTAGCTGAGTGCTCTTCCCATGATATATCTGGGTAATTGAAGTCAACCATGACAACCATGTTCTGTGAGCATGCAGCCTCTGCCAGTTCTCTGGAGAATTCCAGATCAAGCTCCTCCACTTCGTTTGGAGGTCTGTAATATACTCATATCATCAAGTCTCCTTCCCTTGCTCTCCCTGTATCTTAACCCAGAGAGTCTCAGGTCACCCTTCTTTTGTGCCTGTCTCGGCTTCTGGGGATATGTACTGCTCTTTCACATAGAAAGCAACACCTCCACCCTTCTTCCATATACAATCCCTCCTATGTAAGGTGTAGCCCTGTGGTCCAATTGTTGGTGCAATCCCACCAGGTCTCCATTATTCCAATAACATTGTATTCCTTACTGGTTAGCAGGAGGGCCAGTTCTTCCTGCTTGTTCCCCATGCTCCTGGCACTTGTGTAAAGACATGCAAGTCTACCATTGGAGGCCCTTGGCTTCCTGTTTCGCTGAGGAGAGTTCAGTCCTTTGGCCTGTGTCAGAGTGTTCTTCCTATTGTTTTCCATTTAACTGGTTTCCTGCTTGCCACTTCCTGGGCTTGCTCCAATAGTTTTCTTCCCATGTCCCGGCAATCTCAGTTTGTGGTGTTTGTGGTATATAATTTCTTTTGGAACATGTAAGTGTTAACTATACTATAAAGAGGTTGGTGAAAGTTGTCAAACCTGAGAACCTAAAGCTGGAGTCTTAAATCTATACTTGCACATTTTAAATGACAGGCCAGTTACACTTACCTACCTGCACGTCCACTAACCCCAGTTAATTTAGTAGGGGTTGCAAGTGTTCAGCATCTTGTGAAACCTCAGGCCGTTTTTAACTGGGTATGAAAGTACTGATTTGAATGCCTAAAGCTAGGCCTCTGGATTTGGTAAATTTTAACTATTTAGTCTTGCAAGCTATATAGCTCAATGTACTAATTTTAACTGAAACTCTTTACCTTGCAGTTAACACATTTGGTAGACTCCTGTCCTCTGATCTATGTTATGCAAAAAAATTCCATTTAAACTCTATTCTAAGATTTTAGAGAGCATACAGAGAGTACCTATTAATGAATATAAATAGAAAAATGTTAACTAGACTTTAACCATAACTAAGACATTTCAGAAAGAATCCTTATACCTTAATCACTGTAGCAGGAGAGATGACGAAAGGAGTCCCTGGATTGACAGCCTCCAACTTCATATTTTCAGAAAATGAATGCACTCTGATCAAAGGTTTTTCCTAAAAAGTTCATGTCAGAGCACTGATTAGCCATATTTCTCCAATGTAAAACACTAGACAGTTCTACACGCTGGAAGTGGATGAAGTAACTTTACCTAAGCATCTGTGGGCGCTTGTACACATGATGAAAATTGCCCGTTTTTGCGGTTCAGTTGTGTCACACTGTACACATGCAGGGTTTATTTTATGATTTAAATGAGTTTGCAACATTGCAAACTAAATCACATCTGCATGTAGTTTTGTTTACATTGTAGCTATTTGCAAATAGCCAATTACCTATCAAGAATGATGGCGGGGGTGGGGGGATGGGCAGGGTTGGAGCAGCGCCACCCAATGCCACACGCTACTGCCACTCTGCCTCCAGCCCTGTGGGCCCCTCCACCCCGCATGTCCAGCTCCATGTGCCTCCCCTCTCACCTACCCACTTAGCCCCGCAGTCCCCACCATCATTGGGGGGGTGGGGACAGAGCCCCACATCTGGCCCCACGCCCTGCTTCTTGTCCAGCCCCATTGCCTCCACTGCCCCTTCTCCCGCCCGCATTGGGTCCATTTCCTCCCTCTCCGTCCCCCTCTGCCTCCAAGGAGCAGGCCTGGGGAGGGGGGCAAGGCTGGCCTGGCCCCCCCCACTCCGACCCTGCTGGAGGATGGCGG